GGCTGGGGGCTGACTGCCTAAGCAGCAGCTCCGCAGAAAAGGACCTGGGGGTTGCTGTGGACAATGAGCTGAATATGAGCCAACAGTGCCCTTGTTGCCAAGAAGGCTAACAGCATACTGGGCTGCACTGGTAGGTGTGTTTCCAGCAGATCGAGGGAACTGATTCTTCTGCTCTATTCAGCACTGGTGAGGCCACATCTGCAGTCCTGTGTCCAGTTTTGCCCCCCCCCTTCCCCCCCCCACTGCAGAAGGGATGTGGAAAAATTGGAGAGAGTCCTGTGTAGGGCAACAAAATTGTTAGGGGGCTGGGGGACATGACTTATGAGGAGAGGCTGAGTGAACTGTGTTTATCTAGTCTGGAGAAGAGAAGAGAAGACTGAGGGGGGATTTAATATCAGCCTCCAACTACCTGAAGGGGGTTTCAAAGAGGATGGAGCTGGACTGTTCTCAGTGGTGGCAGATGACAGAACAAGGAGCAATGGGCTCAAGTTGCAGCAAGGGAAGTTTAGACGAGGTAGAATCCAGGAAGAATGTTCTCACTAGGAGGGTTGTAAAACACTGGAACATGCTACCTAGAGAGGAGACGGCATCTACATCCTTGGAGGTTTTTAAGACCCGGCTAGACAAAGCCTTGGCTGGGATGATCTAGTTGGGGATGGTCCGGGTTTGAGCAGGGGGTTGCACTAGATGACCTCCTGAAGTCCCTTTCAAACCTCATTTTCGCTGATTTTATGTGCTAAGTTCTGTGTGAACACACAGACAATGGTCTACACTATGTAATTTTGTCAGCAGGCATCCAATGGCAAATTTGGTCAGCAGGGCCTTGGTAAGGCACAGTTCCTACACTTAGGACCTCATTAGAGGTCTGTCTTTTTGTCTGAGTTACTCCAGTCCAAGAAGCTTGGCTTTTTAGCCCAAGCTGTTAGCAGTTCATTAATTTAAGCTCAGATGGTCTTCTGTTTAATCAAGCAGGTTGTAGGCTGTCACACTTATAATACATAGAGGCAAGTAGAGCGTAGGAAAAGGGATACAACATTGAGCTGGAATGACTGCAATATGACATGATGAGAATAAGGTCCCTACCCTGAATCATCCCTACCCTGAATCATGTGCGTTTATGCTGTTTGTGGCACACCACAAGGGGGCATGACAGCAGACAAGAAGAAAGCAGTTTTCAAGAAAGTTTGTGACTGACTCTTTTTGCTTTGAATGTGTTCCTTTTAATTAGGTTTATTATGTTAGAATGAGAAATATAGGCATAAACCGTAATCTTTCATTTTCCAGGGTAGAGACCAAGCTGCAAAATATTGCTGTGAAAAAAAAAACTCACGGGAGTTCTTGCTATTGAGTTTTACTCCCTGTTTTCAGTCCAGTGGCAAAAAATTAAAAAAGCAAAGACAAAGGTGATCTTTTAATTTTAATTTCCATTTTTTAAAAAACATTTTTTTTTGTAAACATTTTCTTTTTATTGAAAAATGTTTTTTTTTTCCACAGGCATTTTGATGCCCAAACTGAGCATTAAAGTTCATAGTAGGAGATTTTGAAAAGAACACTACAAAGAAATGATCAGTAACAGGACTATCATTGAATACTGAATGTCGATTTTCATGATGCTGCCTGCAATGACATACAGATCTGTTTTGACTGGTTGCTAGGCTCTAAATTAATTAAAGTTTGTATGAACAGTTCAAAATCATTCCAGCATTCATTGATAGCTTCACATTTCATTTGTTTTTTGCTTCCTGTTCCTCTGGTTTGGTTATGCCCCTGGGGGTACATCTTGATCTTCAGTAGTTTTGACTAAATGTTTTTGTATCCCCTGCCGATTTTGAAACCCCATGGATTTATCACACTTTTGACAACTGGTATAAATTAGCATGAGCTTTGTGTATCTGTTTAGTATCCTTTTGCCATGATGAAATTTGACCAGTTTTCCCATTCGCTATTACTTAGCTTCTTAACCAGATTCTTCCCCCCTCCCCTGCTCCCCTATTTGTTTTCCATCGAGTCTAACATTAATTTATAACAAAAGGCAAGCGAAAAAGGTTCTCAACTGTTATGTACTGGTGCACTTCTTCTGTTTACTGCAGTTGATGATCTGGCTTAATCTTGAAGAAAAAGAATATCAAGAACCACCAAAACAGTGTTACCTAGAAAAAAGATATCCTGCCCCCCTGCAAAAAAAAACAGCTTGCCAGAAGAAAGTAGCTTATACTAATCTATTTTTTGGTACTATTCTCATGGAGTAATTATATTGGCTCAGACTGGCATTAGACTAAAAATTAAATATATGTTAAATTACATTCAGCTGCCTCAAAAAATCTAATGAAGAGTCTGTTGGATCAATAATGGAGCCATTATTCAGGACAACAGAAGGGGTTTTTTTTGTTAGTTTGTCTGTATTATGATAATGCAAAGGAATGCAGTGCTTTGGACCATTAACTTACCTTAAGCTTTGCAGGCAATAAGACAGAAATAGGGAGCAATAAAAGAGCTGTAATTTATCTCATAAGCAGCAGCAATTTTTGATCTCAAATACATAATTTCAGAAATATTAGGAAATATAGTTATTATACCTAATGGTCTCTGATCCATGGCTTCCTATGAACTGTGTTTAACAACAGGTCCAGAGAACAAGAAGTGGAAAGTGTGTGTATGAGAGGACAGCAAAGGACATTTCCCAACACTGTTACCCTTTCTTGATTAGGGTTGGCAGGAAATTTTTGATGGAAATATTTTTCCACTGAAAAAATTAGGCTTCACAAAAATACAAGTGGCACCTGTCCCAATTGGCTGTCCTGTGAATTTAACTGGAAATGGGGCGGGATGGTTTCTGTCTCTGCTGTGGAGCTGGGTCACACCTGGTAGCTGGTTGATGACCTTACAATTAAAAATGAATTGTGCAAAAGTAGAAACAACATCAGATGTCTAAAGATAACTGGATGGAAACAGCGCAGCATACAGTGATAAAATCAGAAAGGGCAAGGTACAAAAGTTACCTCTAGCAAGGAACATAAAAGGCAGAAAGAAAAGGTTCTATAAATATATTAGACGTCTAAAGAAAACAAAGGAAAGAAGAGGTCTGTACTTAATGGGGAAGGAAAGGAAACTATGGATGACACAGAGAACCAAAGCAATCAAGGCCTATTTTGATTTAGTTTTCACAGAAGTAAGGTTATTTTTGACCAGGCGCTTAATGCATTGAATGTCAACCAAGGATAAAAATGCAGGCCAGAATTGAGGGAGGCTATTGAGATAAGTTGGATGCATTCAATTGACAAAATTGGATGAAATTTGCCCAAGTATACTTAAAAAAATAGTTGAAACAATCTGGAAAGCATTAGCAATTATCTTCAGGAGCACTTGAAGGATGGGGCTCTCTCAAAGGACTGAAAAAAGGCAAAAGTAGAATCTGTGTGTAACAAAGTGAAAAGAAGGACCAAAAGTGATATAGAGCAGTGCACCTAATTTGGGTACCCAGAATGCTATTAAAACACATTAGTAAATCATCAAAAATTAAGCACTTAAAGGAAGGTAAGATGATGAGAAACAGGAGCTGTCAAGAGTTTCAATGGCAGGGCATTGGCAGTGCCCTTGTCTCCCTCAGTTTTCCCCTGTGGTATACTCTGGGATATCTTGCATATTGTGCTTTGTTGCGAGTGAGGGCCCAAAGTTGTGATTTTGAGTATTTCTTCAGTTAATGTTAGTCATAGATTTCAGTCTCTTAATTTGTGACTTTGGGACCTTTAGATTAGTAGTCCTAAACAGCTACTAATAACACATTCCTAAACATCTTCTAATAAAATACCAATGCTAAGAAGAAATATTGAAATCTCCATGTGGGAAAGGCTAGAGAGTAACAGAAAAGTAATACCCAAGTATCCATACTGTACTAAGCTCTTGCAGCTCAAGCACTCCAGCTTGGCAAGCAGCAGTGTCTGATGGATATACATCATGACAGATCCATTAGCTGTAGTCCACTCCAATGTACTTGTAGAATAGAAAGTAGGGACCATATGCCCTGGCACACAATAATATGCAGGGAGCATGGGTAACCTAGGCAAGGGGGTCAGTTTTTTCCCCCATTAGCATAATTGAATTTCTACATCTAACACCCCTCTGCAGCCACTGGAGTGGCAAGTAGGATTTGTTCCTAACAGCTAGGTCCTGGTTCCTTTGCAAACCGTGGAATTTTGCTGCTTAAATAGGGTGAAGCTTTGGCTCTGAAATAATTTCCCACATGTAATTTTAGCTAAAGAGTGATACGTACAGTTTATGCGCTGGAGCAAATTAGCAGTTAAGCAGCCAGGGAGATTTGGTTTCATGTTTATTACCCCATCTGTGGTTTGCCACAGGCCGTTTTTAACAGTGCGCTCACAGTCTCCTTTCTAAACATTATGTCACCATTTTATTGCTCTCCCTGGATCCTTTGCTAGGCAAGAAGAGGAGGAAAGCACAATTATTCCTTTTGATGCAGTTGCATCGCAAGCTTTGGCACGGCTGGGTTTGTGGGGGGAAGTGATCCTGTGTGCTAGTGACAAAGAAAGTGTATGATTTACCAAGCTGAATGGATGCTTTTATTCTATCAGCCTGCAGTTGCCAATATAATAAGGTCCCATGCGGATAACAACTATGAAGTCAAATCTGTTTTCAATGCTGCCCTGCAATTCAATTAACACATTGCCCACAATGTCTGTAGTAAACTAGAGCAGAGGAATTCAGAGTTACAGGAGAATCATGTGATCATATTCTCTAGGGAATGTATGCAGTAAAGAGAACTGTTTTCTTAAATTTTGATCCGCATGCACTAACATGAAGAAATGCTAAGATCTGCCATTAGATCTAGTCTTTGCCTTCATAAAGCAATTTGTCTGGTTTTGGTATGTCCCAATTATTTGGCAAGATCATGACTCTACAGACCATTCAAAATGAACCTCTTCTCTTCCTGCACCGCCCAATTGCTTAGGGAAGTTGCAATCATTTTCCTGTAATACAGTAGACTGAGATGGAAAGAAAACTGTGATGAGACCCCTTCTGGTTTTATATTTGATCATGTTCCGTTTTTCAGGGAGAAGCTGGCTTGGACGCAGTAGTGAGGGAGGTGATATCATGTCTGTTGTTTGGCCCGGTTGACTGTGCATTCTCCTGTTTTGAAATGGATTTGAATATTGCTGAACAAGGACTTGGGATGCAGCCCCTAAACCACTTTTATTTGGCTTCTCTACACAGACATATATTTGTAAATGAAATCAGGGAAATACCCTACTGAAACATCTTCTCCGTTGTTGTGACTACTCAGCGAATTCTCAGGCCCAGGTATGTGGTTCCCGTTCCTCCTATCTATATTTGTCTGTGATTTGTATGACTCTGCCAAATCTGTTATGACACAAAGCGCTTCACTGTGTGCCCTTAGGCTGTTGAGTGAATTTCTTGATCTCTAACTGTCTCATGTAGGGGAGAGTTTGCACAGCCTTTGTTAATCATTGAGGGAGATCTGCACGGCAGTCGTGCTTTTCTTGAAAACAAAAAACATGCCTACCACTGTCCATCTCTGTTCACTGGACTTGTTATATGGGAATTTATGCATGGTGGTGTATCACTCACCAACAGTGACACCGCAGTGTCTGGTATGGGGCATGATGGATAAGGGTACAGCATTCAGCAAGAACAGTGAATTGCAGCCTTCATCAAAGCCAGGCCTGGCTAGAGGAATGTCTCCACCCTGGAAATGATTGCAGTCCATGAAACAAGTTTCACTTGACTATTTCAACATTTCTTTTTACAGTGCTTGAACTTCAGGTACCAACTCCGTAGCCCCATTGTTAAAACTTTACTTTGACTTTACTCCTACTTATAACTTCTTGCTTTTTTGTTAGGGAGTTCAATGTGAGTCACACTTGTTTAAGGGCAAGTGCAGCCTTTGGACCATCCTGGTGATCAACTTACTGGACCAACTTTAGACCTGTAGGGTGTAACCTAGATTTGAACTCCTCCAAAAAGGAGGTCTCCTGGGTCCAAATTTTACAGCTTGAGTCTATTTCTACTATTATGAGAGATATTGAAACACTTCTGGAGAAATCGAGAGGGCTAACACTCCTTTCTAAAATATGGCAGAGGTTAAACTCACGCACATGAAATATGTAGCAAGCTAGTGCTTGCAACATAGGGTAATGAAAGTGAGAAGCTGGGTGGGGGCCCATCTATGTCTGTTGCAAGCCTCTTGACTTCAGTGGTTGCACCAATGTACTTATTTGGCCCTGGGAGTTATGGGGAATAAGAGTGATTTATTCCTGCAGCTGCTGCTCTGTACAGTAGCTGAAGCATCCCAGATAACCAAGACTTTTCTGTCCCAAGGCTGAACAGTGTGAAGGCACAAAGTGTCCAGTGTTGGATATTCCCATACAAAGAAAGAAGAAAGAATGACCAGGGTAGAGCTCATTTGAACCATGACTGGACCAGGTAAGCTTTTCAAATCCCCTTATGTGGGGGGTCTAATCTGGAGTTTAACCAAAATATGGAATGACATAAATGGAAATGCAGTAGCTTAGGGTGGATTGAGGAGACAAATTAAGTAGTCACAGGAGAAGCTCTGGCAGATCTTAGGGAGTGAATAGGAGATAAGGGTAGAGTCCTTGGGAGCTTGGGCAGTGAGGGAGAGAATATTAATGTTAATGTGGGGGAAGAGGAGAAGGTAGAGATGGGAAAGAGCGTGGGGAAGAGAGACCTCCCAAAAGGGGCATTACTTCTGTGATAAAAGCGAGCCAAGAGAAATGAGATGCATGCTGGGCAGAAAGGAGACTATAAAGCTATATTGTCTGCACCTTCCCTGCAGCTGCTGTCAATGCTGTCTGCTGTTTGTTAACAGGAGGTAGGTTTTCCTGCTCTGAACTAGCTGTTGCCTTTGAAGTGGTCTCCTAAGGCAAGCACATCCCAGGTGACTGAAAAGTCTGAAATGCCTAAACCAGAGAATCCTGGTTTGTCTGTAGCTTTACATGACCCCAGCACTGATGCTGTGTTTTGTGTTTGTATAGTGAAAAATACACTCTATTCTGTGGTTTTCCTTTTTCTTGTTTTCTCTCTTGTTTCCCACCAAAGTGCTGGGTTTAAAGTAAAAAGTGCTAGGGGGAGGAGGAAAAATATTCATCGCTTTCCTTTTAAGCTTGGGCAATGTGCTTGTTTCGCCTGTTTCTCCAATGAAACCGAGGTGCAGAGAAGCTTCCTTCTGAAACTAAGCATGTTACTTATTTGAGCTGGTGCCAGAGGGTGGGATCAATGGGATGAAGGCAGGGCACATGTGGGTACAGATGAGCTCTCAAAAGAAAGCTACTTTTCAGCGGTGCCCCTCACCCCCAAATACTAGATCTCTTGTTTTGATAAGGTTGAGTACACACGTAACCAGCTAAGCGGGCAGGAGGAAAAATGGTTAAAATGGTATATACATGCAGACACAAGGGCACCATTCATTATGCCAGAGTATTAGAGCGTTACTCCCTTAACTGAGTTTTCTGCCCTTTGCAGGCACTTTCTGTAAGCATAGAAATCTTTTCACATAGCATCTGTTGCATCAGTTTCCGGTTTGACTGTGCTTCAGCTGATGAATATGATACAGTCATGTAGCTGGATTAAATTTCAGTTATACTTATGGATTCAATTGAAACAATCCTGCATGTAACTGGGGAGTGGCACTGATGTGTTTGGTAAGGGAGGCCTGTTGAAACTCCCAAGGGTAGGCGGCCACAATCTAGGGACCTGGGATAGACGTGAGATGGGAAATGGGCTGAAGAAACGATGGGTATTTGTGGAGAATTACGTAGATTCTACTGGAAATGTAAATGAGCGCCAGGGGTGTAATGGGATTGTGGTGCACATGTTCAGATGTTTGGTCTGGAGGAACATCTGGAGATGCTGGCAACTGATCTGAAACATAGAAGCTTTCTGATTCAGCCGCATTTAACTGAAAATGGGACAGAACGGTCTCTGTCTCTGCTGTGGAGCAGGGTCACATCTGCTTCTGGCACCATCTGGAACTTGGAAATGAAGGGCAGAGGTGTATTTGAAAAATGATACTTTGTTTGGTTTTTTCAGATAAACATTTCCCCAAACATTTCTCTAGGTTCCAGCTGGAAGTTCTAGTTTGTTTCAGAATATATCTTTCTCTTAGGCACTCTAAATATCTATTTGTGCATTCGTTATCTGAACTGGGTTTTCTTTTTCTCCTGTACCCGTGCATTGCACTATACTTGTGCACTGCCCAACATTAATGGTTCGGTATTTCAGTGACTGCAGAACTTTGCAGGTGTATACTTACAATGCCCCCGACCTTATCTCATTGATGAAAATGGCAAAACTCTTGTTGGCTTCAGGAGAAGCAAAATCAGGCTCATTAACTGACTAATTGCCTGCACAGTGTAAACAGTAGTGTTTAATTACGGGATGATTTTTCCGAAGAGTGCGAAGGGTTGTTGTTTTATTGACTAAAATGTGTACATGTGGAAACAATGCCTGAAGAAGCCAATATTAATATGGCATTATGGCATGTCTATGGGTTACGTTGATCTCAGAGGATTGTGGGGAGGCATGACCTAACAGTATTTGTTTGGGTGTATACCATAATCCTTCAGAAACAGAAGCAGAGGCCAAAGCGTCGTCATTTCTTTTCTTTCTTGCAGAGCTAAATTGTGACTCCTGCTCAGGCAGAAAAGTTCCTGTTAATAGTCCTATTGAAGACAATGAGATTACTCTTCACTGTGAAAAAAAAAATCATAATCTACTTCCCATGACAAGGAGAATGTTTTTTTTAACATGCTGACTTGGTTTTTCCTGGCTGTTTCCATGCAATAAAAGAGGAAAGGAGGGAATTCATGAATGTGGAGTGTTTGATTTATAACAGTCAAGCTAAGAGATCCTGATAGAGACATTTTATTCACCATGTCACATGAAAGCCAAGCAAATGGAGCTGAGAAAAATGGTTCCTTGTCTTCTCCCTCTTCCTCCATCTTCTACTCTAAGAACCACTTAGTGAAAGGTAAGCAAACAACCTAAGTTGCCAATTACAAACAATGAATATTGAATCAAGTATCATTAAACTAAGAGAAGATGCATTTTTTCAGGGTGGTTTATCTTCTATCTTGGGTACAGGATCTTGCTACATGAGTGTGTCCTGTTTTGGACTTGAGCTAAATGCTGCTGCTGGTCGGCTCAGATGTAAATGCACTTGGTCAGGGAGTCAAAGACAGCCTAGCATGATGCTAGCCATAGTTGGCTGTGTCTTAGCTATGTTAGCCTGATGGGTCTCATAGGCTTTGGTGGACTTTGATCTTTATTCATCTTCTGTTTTGGAGGGCTTACCTTGCAACCCTATCAAAAGGGCTGATTTTCTAGGAATGGCGAGTGTCCACATGCTGAAAATCAGGATCATTTACAGCTCCTCAAATTGGGCACTGAAAGGCAATAGTCAGTTTTGAAAATCATGGACTTTATTTGTAAAATGACCCCCTTCCTCAGTTTATGTTGGGTAATGCAATACTCCTTTACAGACTGACCATGGTTCCGAATCTATATATAATAATAATAATAATAAATAGCAGAACATAATCATATTTCCCATGCTTCTGAGCTTTGCTGGTTGCTGCATGGAACCAGGAGGGAATTTTTCCCCCACCTGCTGCTAGATTTTCCTCACTAATATTGGTTGTTGGTTGCATTCAGGGCTGGGGATTCTGGCTTGGGTGTGCCAGTGCTCCTGCTGGAACTTAAACCCAGAGTCCCTTGGCTAGAGGATTTTGGCCCTCCACTCAGGGTCAGACCAATCCCTATATTTGGGTTCAGGAAGAATTGTTACTCCATGGTCAGATTGTTATGGACTGTTGGGGAGAGGGGTTGGGCGAGTTGTCTTCCTCTAGCAGGGGTGTGGCCCTTATCCTGGGATCTCTGGAGGGTATTTTAACAACTTTTGCAACAGCAGGATAGTGGCTGCTGTGGTCCACTTCCTTTATCTGTGGCAGATTAGGGCACTATGTCTTGTGTTGTGTCTGGGTTGACTGTGTAGTTTTGCTAGGTTAGACAATGGATTTGTGTAAGATGGTTTGGATAGGAATGATCCTGCCTCTGGCAAGGGGTTGGACTAGATCACCTCTACAGGTCCCTTCTAGTCATACTTGTCTATGATTCTACAACAGACTGCCGTGATTTTCCCATGCAAATCCCCAGCTGCAAGACAAGGGGCCACAGTTTCAAAGTGACTCCTAAATTAAATGAATAAGGAAGGGTGGCAGATGCTCAAGCCCTCTGGAAATCAGGCCATAGCCATATCTGTAGAAATGTCTGCTCATTCTAAGTGCTTTCATTTCTGGTTACCCAGCTTGAGACATCCAGGAGCTAATGCCTGATTTCCAGAGGTGCTGAGCATTCATTTGCAGCTCTTGTCAGCTCCAACCTAAGTTGTGGGTTTTAAGCCCCTGTGAAAATCCTAGACATTTAAAGTCAGGTACCCAATATTATTAGACTCTGTCCTGAGTAACTTGCCCAAGTCACAAGATGAGTAAGTAGCTTCATGTCTTTCCTGCTCTTAATCCACTAGACCAGTGTTTCTCAACCCGAGTGTTGTGACCCACTTTTGGGTCGCAAGAATATATGAAAGGGTTGCGAACAAACTTAAAAAATGAATTCTTCTTTAAAGGAGAAAGATGTGGGGGACCATAGCTTTTTCCTTGTGGGCTGCCAGAGTTCCAGCCTGCTAGGGGCTGCTAGGGGCTGTTTGGGCCCTCCCCTGCCCCACACACTGGGTGCGGGAGCCTGAGGGCAGGGCTCAGTGAGTTGGGAGTGAGGGGCACTGGGTTGGGACTGGCCATCAACGTTTACAAATGGGTCTTGGTACAAAAAAGGTTGAGAACCACTGGACTAGACCACATTGCTGTATTCTGATGAAACAGTTAACTCAGAAAACAAACTGAGTATTGTTACTTCACGTACACAACAGGTCTTGAAATACGCCTACCCTTCAGTTTTTTCTTGTAGGTGGACCACACCCTCATGGTCTGAGAAGGAATTTGGTTTCCTTGCTGTTCCCTGACCTGAGGGAATTGTTGGGTGGTGTAGAAAATAGGTGGGTGCTAGCCAGATTTATGTGGGGTGTGGCTGAGTGCACAGGAGTTCTGCCTTATTCTTAGTCAGTGTAATAGTCCATTGGAGAGTGCTGCAGCCAGCATAATTTAGTGTAGCCCCAAATTCCCCTGGCTGGCCCACCATTGAGGGAACGGAAGTAAACCAACAGCACTGAACAAAACAGACAATGTTGATTCATTGAACTTAAAGGCTAGGGACAGACATTCAAAAAGGCTGAGCCTAAATTGATTCAATCTTTGCAGGTTAGTCTATCCTGCAGAGCTTGAACTGATTTGGAGGTGGATAGTCATTCACTTTTAAATCAAGAAATACAGGCACATGCCTGCGGTGGCTCAGGCTAGGAGCTGGGGGTGCTAGAGCAGCCCTCCCTTCCCTTCTACAATGCTGAGCTAAGGGTGGGGGTGGGGTGAGGCCTGGGCAGGATGCTTTGATTAGGGATGGGTTTTCTCCTGCCTGCACAATCCCAGACACAATTCCAGGCTTTTCCTGGCTTGCTGCTCAAGGGACAGGAGAGTTGCCAGACCTTAGCCTCTGACTAGCACTCTGAGGCACTCCCTGCTTCTTCATACTGTCTGCAGAAAACCTGGCAGGTGAGGGAGCCAGTAGGGAGCTGGTAACACAACATTTATAAGTCCATCAAGAAAACAAAGCCTCTGTCATTAGTTCAAACTCTTAAAAACTTTTTCCAAGGAAGGAATGGAGGGACATTATCAGCTGACCTGTTGATTTGCTCCAAAAAGCCCTAAGCAGACATTGTTCTGTCAGCCTTTCTCCCAGAGAAACAAGGAGACACACATGCACAGACACTTCTCAGCATTAGCTAGCATAGGGGTAGTGTGACTGTGACCAGATACAGACTAGGGTCCATGCTGTGGGGGTGGGGGGTTTTCCTACTTGAGCAGCGAGCAGGGGAGATGGGGCAAGGTGAAATCAGGAAGGTGCTGATGTGCCTGCAGTCTCAAACTCCTCAGCCAGCTGGAGCAGTGTTAGTGCTCAGACTAGGGGGCAGAGGGGTGGGGCCAGCCCTGCTTTCTGGAGCAGACAGCCCAGCCCAGCCCGGGCCAGCCCAGGGCTGCAAAGCATCTGGGATGCTGGGGAACTCTGATTTAACTTAAACTAGGAAAGGGTCTGGGACAGAAGTTCCATAACCGGTTTGACCCAAATCAGTTAAGTCTAATACTACATTCAACCAGGTTTATGTCAAACCAGTTTCAGCCATTTTGAAACTGGTTTATGTGCACTGAATCTATGTTCTGTTACAGATTTACACTAGTTTTTGTTCACTTAAACTGGTTACATGTAACTTACATTTCAGCTAGGGATAGATCTTCTAAAACATCTCAGATTGGGTGAACTTTTTGTTCACTGAAGGCAGGGTTTTTATAGGACTTGGCCTGGGTTCATAGCATGCTGCTGAACACTCCAGCGGTTCTAGAGTCCATGGATTCAGGGCAGCCCCATCAGGAGGACTACCTCAGCTACAGGCATCCTGATGAACATATCTGGGAATGCTCTAATACAGGGGTGGGCAAAATACAGCCTGAGGGCCAGATCTGGCCATGAGGCCATTCCATCCAGCCTGGGGGGCCCCTAAAAAATTTAGAAAATTAATATTTATCTGCCCTTGGTTCCCATCAAAAATGACATGAACCAGGGGCAGTAGGACCCAGGTGAAGCCCTGGCGGGCTCCTGCAAGATCAGAGCCTGCCTGGCCCTGCCTCCAGCCAGAAGGCCCAGAAGGGGCTTCTAGCTTGGGACCATGTGGTTGCCCTGGCGTGGGAAACTCAGGTAGGGGGAGAGGGGGAAGGGCAGGGAAGGCCCCCGGGGAAAAGCTCACTGTGGGGAAAAGCACCCCTTCCCCTGCCCTGTGGCTGGTGCTCTCTGCTGCAGCCACTCACAGCCCATGCGGGGCTGTCCTGAGCAGGCACAGGCAGCCCCAGGTGGGCTGCAAGTGGCTGCAGCATGAGGTGCCAGGCACGGGATAGGCGAGGGGCCACTTTTCCCCATGCTCAGCACCAGCTTGTAACCTGCCCCTGCTGCCAGCCTGGGCCCCACACCAGCTCTGGGCTTGCCTGTTGGGAGCAGCTGCTTGGCGCAGAGGAAAGCGCCACCCCCACGCTTGCCACGCTGGGCAGTGTTTGCCTCCACTGCCTCTGTGCTGCCCAGTGCATGAGCTCCGGGCAGGTGGCAGCAGGAACCACTGCCCAGTGCGGCAAGCATGGGTGCTGCTTTCCTCCGCACTGAGCAGCTGCTCCTGCCCCAGCGCAGCCTCAGTGGGCAAGCCCAGAGCTGGCACGGGGCCCAGGCTGGCAGCAGGGGTGCATTACAAGCTGGTGCTGAGCACGGGAAAAAGCGGCCCCTTGCCTGCCTTGGGTCTGGGGGGCCGGCCCGCGTCAGCTGCTGGCGGCCCACGGGGGGCTGCCTGTGCCTGCTCAGTACAGCCCCGCACGGGCTGTGAGCTGCTGCAGCAGGGCATGCTGGTCACGGGGTGGGCAAGGGACCGCTTTTCCCTGTGTTCAGCACCAGCTCCTTCCTTGCTGGTGAGCAGGGGGTTGGGTCTGCATGCTGCCCCCAGCCTGTACCGCGGGGCTGGGGGCACTGGGAGTGAGTGGGCGCGGAGCCAACGGGAGCACAGGGCCTGCACCAGCATTCTGGGGCCAGCGCTGGCAGGGCCCAGAGCAGGGCAGCAGGGGTACAGGGTCCCGGCCAGCAGCGACTCTATGGATCTGGGCCATCTCCCCCTCTCCCTGCTGGTGCAGCTCAGCCCGGCTCCATAGACCCCTGCCAGCCTGTGCCCTGCTCTGGGCCGCACCGGTGGTGGCCCCGAGATATTGGTCCCAAGACATTGGTCCCAAGATGGTGACCAGGGGGAGGGGCACCTTTCAAGGGATGGGGCTACCCATGTGGCCCTCAACAGCTTGCCAAAACTGGGTAAGCAGCCTTCCATCCGAAATAATTGCCTGCCCCTGCTCTAATAGCTGTAGATCTGACCAAGGTTCTGCTCCTGCATCGTGATTACTTCCAGGGCCCTCAGATTTTCCAGGATCGTTGTTGGATTGTTGGGAATTAGTCTGGAAAGCCTAGGACAGGTTCTCAGCATCTGTGGTGATGGGAAAGCATTTGGACTGTCATGGGCTGGGGTTCTTTGGACTTTTAGACTCCTCGACTACCTGTCTTCACATCTGTGGCAACATAGAGGTCATATTCCATCTCAGAAACACCATATTTTGAGTGTCCGATTCTTTTTCTTCAGAATTTATATTTCACAATTTGGGGTAAAACTAATTTTAAGAAATCAGACATTTCAGACCACCCTGCATTTTGACCAGCTTGAAGTAGAATGGTGCCACACCTGTAGCGCATTACTCCTTAGGAGACCAGAATATCATGTTATAACAGATCACTTCCCCTTTTAGCATGTGCTGAATTTGCTTTCCTTACCTTCCACCTCTGTTTCTCCAGTATAACTAGCTATTGGAGTATAACCTCATAGTATGACATTATAATAGTTGTAACACTATTCCTTTTTGATTTTATTAGACATGCTGGAGAGAGAGCTTGGGATATGTTACATGTTGCAATCTTCTCCATGTGACTGGTTTTCTCTTATTCCCTCATGGTCAAGCACTCTTTAGTTTTTGTGATGAAAACAAGTCACTAATCGGAGCATTATTATCACACTCAGACTTGTCTTGTCTTCTGATGCCTTTGCAGAGCTTCACAATGGCCAGGTGCTTACAGTTCTCAGTGCTATCAATAACTGCTCTTCCATCTCCTTTGACCTGGAGCTTTGTGTAGAGAAACTGAAGATCTTGGGAATTCAGGTAAGTGCCTCAGTAATAACCTGGTTACCAAATGGCTTGCAGATGTGACAGGTATTTTTATGTCTGTGGCATTTTGTATCTGTAACAAGAAATCAAGGTCTAAATGACAGCATATCTGTTATTCAAAGTCAAATATATGAACAGGCTACCAATTATGCCTGTGTAGTTCATTATTACACAGTGTAAATTTCTGCCTGATTCTAGGGAAAAAAACTATACAAAACGTAATAGTGCTCTCCATCATATTAAAAGGCCTGATGTTGCTGCCTTTTCAGTAAGAGGCCAGACTCTCACTGACACAAATTGGAACAAAAGTAAGATTACTGTTAGTGAAGAGTTAGACTTGAGTAATGCTCTCGCCACTAATTACTCAGCAGTTAAATTAACCATTCCATGTGCTGAAAAAAGAAAGCACTGTAACAGAGAGAGAAGTATCTGCTTTTTGGAGGACACAGCATTGCTGATGCATTGGCTTGGGACTAGGCTGAAAACCCTGGTGTACTTTTAAATATGGCCTCAGTTTCATACTGGTTCCCACAATTAATTTTTTGGCAGCTTCATTACAGTATGGTGGGTCTGTCTCACAAAGTTTCAGCAATGCTTCCAGGACAGGGATGGGCAAAATATGGCCTGTGGGCTGGATCTGACCCGCTGAGGGATTTTGTCCAGCTTGCAATGGGTCCCGTGGTCCCAGCCATCCTAGGCAGGGGAACAGCCCGTGCCATCGTGCATGCAGCCAGTCTCTCTGCCCCCGGATGCGCAGTGGGGCTGGGGCAGTGCAGTGGCTGGACTCGCTTCCTGGCAGCCCCAGCCTTTTAAGTTCCAGTTCTCTTAATCTAATAATTTGAAGTACTGTCCTTGCCCTTTATTAACCACTGTTCAGTTTGTTTTCTGACGATACTTAGAGCTCTGTATGAAAAAGTAGGTGGAGCTCATTTGGTTTTGGTTCCCAAACAGATGACAATGGATGAATGGAGAAGTTTAATTCAAAACCCAGTTCTGAAGCCTGAAATAAGACGCTACATGTTCTACAACTCCAGAGCTTTCAGAATAGCTATTGCTGTGGTAAGGATCCTGGTTGGGGGATTATTGATTTGGGCCATTATTGATGTATTTTGAATGATATATTATAACTTTTCAAAGGAGCCTATGGGAATTAGTGAGTAGGCACATGGATTTTACATGGCACATGTGGGTAGTAGGTGTCCCACCAAGGTTGGCTTTTGAGCCCCTTTGAAAAATCCCAGAATTTGCTCTGTAACAAGGCAGATCTCTACACTACCCAATTCTGGGGAGCCCCAGTTTAGATGGCAAAGCCTTTTCTGCCATGGTCCTAAAGTGAGTGGAATTCCTTCCCATGGGAGTATGTGCCACTGTCTATCCTGCCTTGCTCTCAGAAACCATCTGGTAATACTCTGGACCTGGTTCTCATTTACATTAATGCCACTTTACACTTCATTGGCAGGGTTCCTGAGCCTTAAACTGGGACTAAATTACATGTGTGACAGTTATAGCCCCCTTAACATGAACAGAATGGTGTAAACTGGTCTTGGTTTGAATAATTATCCTGTCTGTCTTTTTTCAGAGGTGTTTTTGGTCACTCACTGCATATAGCTTCCCCTGTTTTCTCTAGTAGATTTTTAAATATATATTTCTTGGCTTAATTTCAATAAATTATATCACATTATATTAGAACATACCTCACACCATAGCATTCTATCTGGCATTAAACTACCTATCCTCATTAGGCACCCCCTTGTTTGAACATATACCACCCCAAGTTACCTCCAGATGAATAGGACTCTGCTCCCCTTCATTAGAAGTCTCTTTCTTTACATTCCTAGAGTGGTCTCTGAGGCTGTCACCTGCACATTATTTCATTTTACTAGTCCCTGCAGTACCCTGAGTGCTTGGGTATGAGGACATTATAAACACAGTGACTGTAGTCAGTTGTTATCAGTATGCCTCAGTGAATGCATTTCTTATTAAAATAAGGAATTTAGTTAAGTTCCTTCTTAAGTGTGAAAAATCATAAATAATTCACTTGCTGTCTTTGATAATCACTGCTTCTTTATTATAACCCAGAAACTCATACAGTCCAGATGTTACTTCTATAGATTCTGTACTTCAGTTTCTTATTAGATGGGACTTTTCTCCATTTCCACTGTCAGACAATCCCTGGTGATTTAATTAATTTATGGGAAGGCACCAACATGTGAGGAAAGGAACAGCAGTTTTCTTGTTCTTCTTGATTTTTCTTCTGCATTCTCATTTTGTGAGTATTGCTTACTAAGTCTCTCTAGGTCTTTTTAGATTTTCTACATTTCTCTCTGGACAAATATTTATTCCATAATGCGACTGTATGCTTTTGGACGCTACTGGGAAATCAGCATATTGGTGACTTTCGTTGCAGTAGCAGTCACTATTATCGTAATACTGATTATTGACCGATATCAAAGGAAGGTAAGAAGAAGTTGTTCATGTGATCACTTATGTAAGCATGGCAAGCATTTCCCAGCAAATACCGAGGGAGCAAAGTAATTATGTCAAAATATTTGAAAAGCTTAAAGAGTGCAAAAAAGAGTGCAAAAAATAGTTTGCCAAAGAGTGGACAAAATATTATAAAATGAGCTCAATGTAATTGGATGAAGAAATAGTCTGTAAAAGTAAAATTGAGGTTGCATGTCAGAAAAACTGATTTATTTATTTACTTAATGTTTTTATGGTCATTATTACTACATTATTAATGATTTATTATTTGTATTATTGTGATACCAAGGAGCCTTCTTGTGGATCCATTGTGCTGGGCACTGTACAAACCACTGAATAAAAAGACAGTGCCAGCACTGTAAATCTTGCAGTCTGAGTCTAAGATAAGAGACAAGAGATGGAGACAAACTGACGGTAGAGTACACTATTAATCAGTGAAATAGTGATACACTATTAATCAGCATGATAGGCAATGGACTCAGAACATCAGTAGACTACTTTTGCTATGTAGGGATTGCAGCAAAGCATAATTTTAAGGATGGATTTGAAAGTTAAAAGTTACCAGGTCTGATCCCAAGTCCAACAGGAGACTTTATATTGACTTTGATGAGCTTTGGATCAGGCCTCTTATGAGGAGAGCTATTGACCATGGGATAGTCTTCCAAAGGAGGTGGGAGAAGTTCCATTCCTTGACATTTCTAGGCAGAAAATTGGAATAAAAAAAGTACTCTATGGGACACTTTTGACCTGGGCGGTGATTGGAGGAAGGACCATGATCTTACAGGTCATAACTATCCCTAACTTCTATGATTATGATTTATGTTCCACGATAACTGTGATATTATTTGAATATAATTTGGTTTGAATATCATTTGTTTGAATATAATTTGGTTTCTAAAACAATTTCAGTCAAATGATGGTGGCTAAGCTAGAGCTGAGCATTTTTTGAAATCCTCTCTTAAAGGCATAGTTTCTCTTATTGCTATTTTCCAGACACTTAGGACTTTAAGACCATCAGACTCTTTAAAATTCTTGATTGTGGGCTGGCCTTAAGTCACTATGGAACATGCTATTATCTCCCATGTTATTTGACAGATAAATGTGAATACAGATGTAAGGCTAGCAGCTGCCAATGAAGCTTTCATGAGACATAATTTACTTGTGGGGATTACAGATGCTATGGATCGGCATCAGAGCATTCTACAAGTATCCTTGTGCTGTGAGGTATAGTATCTTTCTCTTTAGTGCCTGACAATACAGAGGCATTTATCAATCTTTCCATTAAAAAGGATCTCCAGAAGGTGTTGTGTCCTCCCCCTGCTATTTTAGTGGGTTTCACACCAATATCTTTGTGGTGAAAATTCTTCCCAAAAGTGGGATATTAATACAGGATAATGAAAATTCTTATTAATTATTCTTTGGTGAGTATTATTGGTGTGCTCACAGTAGTACAAGTATAGAGGAAAATGTGTTCCCTGTCTGTAAGTGATTACACTCTATATTTTAAAGACACTGGTATGCAAGTACATAATAGAGAGCCCACACATCTTTAAGTATCTAGTATTTCTAGATACATTACTTGAAGGGACCTGTTTTTAAAAGGGGTGGTGCTTAGCATATTCAGAAAATCAGGCCCCTTTTGGAGAGGGAGAGAGAGAAAGAAAGATAAAGCAAAAGAGTTGCTGTCACACTATGGGTTGTAGTCTGGCTCCCCTAGCTAGCAGCAGTCTCCATGGCAGGGACAGCCTCTGCTTCTGTACTGAAGCCTTTGAAGACCCCAAAGTGGTAGCGCTACAGATAGACGGGCATATACAAAGTAATTCTATTCCTTCCTTAACACTTGCCACCTTTCCCAGCTTTGGTTTGTCTACTTCAACCTGGAAGAGTGTCTTGAGTCCTTAACAAACTATATTGCAGAACTGAAGAGAAACCAAGAGGTAAATAATGAACTAGCAATTTTAGGGTTTAGAAGAAATGATGGATATTGTTTATGCAGTTTTTTTTCACTATGCCCTTGTTGCTTTATGCTGCTTCAGCAACACAAAGCTGTTAAGTGGTTGAACCTACTAAATGAGTTGGGTTTTTCTACTTGGGATCACCGGAGTGGCAGAAAAATCCAGGGTGTGCTGGCGAATTGTGCCCTGTGGGTTTCACAAAAATAAAACAATTTCCTGTGTTTGAATTACCTTGTTATTGGGTGCCTTCATGTGGGGCCAGGATTTAGCAATATGTAGATGAACAACTGCATGCACAAGTGTCCAGTTCACTGGTAATTCACCTGGCCATTCTGGTGCTTACATTTCTAAATAGCTAGTTTCTGAGAGTTTGATGGAGGAAGATCATCCAGGATGAAGAAAAAAAATTACGCCCTTGCTTATACTGAATAGGACCTGAATCCCTGAGCCATCCTGTAGAAATCAATTGGAAAGCTTGAGGAGTAAAAATATATTCTACCTAACTAAGGACATTTGACTCTTACCCTGATGACCTTCAAAAAGTGCTGCATTTACAATGTAGTGTTGTTACTGGGTATGATTCGAAATCCTGGTGTGGGTATTTTCTTCCATACCAGCAGAAACCTTGCACATTATCACAGCCATCACCTATTGCAAATACACATCCTTGTAACTTCTTATTTTCATTGGCCCAGATATTGAAATGGTTGGTGGTGAGCAGTTGCAAAGAAACACCCCGAAGTCAGTTGTGTTAGAAGAACAGTGCATGCACATAAATTACTTCTACAGTGAGATTATATTCTAGACCAGGCACAGTATCTGGTGAGGAAACAGTGACTAGCTCCAAGTGGCACAGATAGCTCTTCACCCTAAAACATTTTAATTCACTCTTTCCTGAGTGGATTATTATTGATAATGGTACAGAACTGTGTCTTGTAAATTGTCCTTGCCAGCTACACAGAGCTAAGGACGGCAAAGGTAGAACAACAATGCTGCTCACCATTAAAGACCCTGAATGCTCTCCCTTTCCTTTTCAGTCAGCCCTGAAGCGTAGTCTGGACCAACTCTGCATTGTTATAGAGACAGTCATCCAGCCAGCTCAGGAAAGAGGAGAGGAGAGTTCATCTGAAGAAGCCCCTCTCCTAACCAGCAAGAAGAACTTAAAGAAAAGGACTCTGACATGCAGTGACCTGATGCAGCTCATTCCCCAAGCAGCTCCAGAGGTAACATGATGCTACGTGTACAAAGTGCCTTAGGTACCCAGCTGCCAACTGAGGCACTTAAGCCCAAATATAGAACCTCAAAACCCTGTTGAGCAGCTGCCTAACTGGAGGTGCCTACATTTCTAGCAGTAACGTTCCCAAGGCATCTATATTTCTGCTTGGTGTGCATGTATCTTACTTGTGTGGTCCAGTCTTGTTGGTGGTCTTAGAACACAATTACCTTCATAAAACCCAGTGAGGAGGTGATCTCTTTGTAACCAAAACCCAGTGGCTAGAGTACTTCCCCATCATGTAGGTGCCTCAGTTTTAAATCCATCTTGCCCTGCCTGTCTTGAATATTGGTCTCACATCTGTCAGAGGTTTACCTTAGATACCTCAAGGCTGGGAGGCACTGCCATCTCCTCCTCTTAATTGTTTCTGCCAGAAAAGACTGACTTGGTTTGACAGTTAGCTTCAGTAGAGGGATTTTATCTGAGAAGCTGGTGTCTCCCTGTAGCCTGGAGCTTGTTGCTGGGGTTCCTATGAGACTCAGGGCACAGACATGCTTAATGACTATTAAAGTGACCCCCTGCTCTGGCTCCTGTCTTCCATCAGTCCCAGTTGCAGTAGCTGAGTATTCTACATAGGCAACAAGGTGCTTAAAAGTTAGGTAATGTCATGTCAAACCTAAGTCTGCTTTGTAGACTCAGCTCTTAAAGACTTGTCTCAAGCAACCAGTGTGTCCTCACGCTGACTCAGCATGAGTGTTCAAAGGTATGGGTATTCTTCTATGATTTTATGCATACTTCCATGAAGAAAACTGAGTGTGAATGAGTCCTGGAGACTACCACTATTGACAGAATGGGTACATCACAAACAGCAGTAGTACAAACTTGCCTCTGTATCAACTGTGCCAACTTGGCTTAACTATAATTACCATCAGGGTGAAGTATTTTAGTTTTTGCAGTCTGTTTAGCCCTGGGCCTTTCAGCAGTCTATCGGTTAAGAACAAGTATGGTGGCTTTTTTGTGAGGCTGTCATACCACCTGATACAGGTCTGTGATGGCAATAATATTCCAGTACTGCTAACCTGAGCTATGGTTGGAGTAGTTACTTACACATCACTAAAGATCATTTGGGCTCCTGGGAGTCATCACATATATTGTGCATTAAGGACAGAGGGTTCGATTCACATTTACATTAAGTCCCACCTATGGGATGCTGGCAGCCTTCACATGAGCTTAAATTATAGTGGCCTTAAAGTAGAAGGGCCTTAGCGTAACCTAGATCAGACCCAGATTAACTTAACCTTCTGAATGCACCAGATACCTCTTGCTTGATCAGGAATTTCCTTAGTGGGTTTTCAGTCTCCTATGGTCATCCTATAATTTTGTAGGAAGTATATAAAAAAAAACACTTGTGACTTTTGTGACTGTCCACTTCTGTTAAGGCATTTGTTTGGGGGCTGGATCAGAAATAGTAGGAAACTGTACTAGGAAGTCACTGTTTAGCATCTACCTAATATATCATCGAATGGGGTAATATGCACATCTTGAGCAGAGAAATGGATATCAGGACATAAAAGACCTTTTGCATCTCTGATACCTATGGTTGCCTCCAAATTCTGTCAGTATGAACATTAACTCCAAAGATTGATCACCATGTCTGCTGACCCTCAATCCCTGCCACTGTGGAGCAGATATAGGAACAGAAGTATGAAGTGCCTCTGACATTGCTGTCATTCTTATTCCAGGTGATGGCCCGACATTTGCTGGTGATCTTCAGTGGCAATTATGTCAGACTGCTGGTCAATGGCCAGCTCCCTCAGGTCATTATGTTACGGCACATGGAACATAGTAATGCCCCCTGCCCTTGTGAGTTCATAAAAACTAGTGTACTCAACACAGGACACTGCTGTTTCAAGGCGAGGTGAATGCATAGCCCTGGAAAGAATTGTTGCAGCAACTACTTTTTGAATACAATGGTTCAAGAAAGAAGCCAGAGCTCAAGGAAGTCTTGAAGTGGGCTGCAACTCTTCTGAGGGACTTGTTCCGACTAACACAAGGATTAAAGAACACAAAAAAGCAGCTGAGGACATGACTTTGATTAAATATGCAAAATACCACTGGGAGAAAATGAGAGACAGCTGCCTACCTGCCCAATCTCTCGCTCTGCCCAGGAGCCAAATTCCATTGGAAGTAGTGAATTGTACTTCTTAGAAATGTGGCTTTCTTATCACCAGTCATGTCTGTGGGGTATTCAGTACAAAGAGTACATTTAATGGCCTTTATAAAGAGCTATCAGGGCATGCTACTAAAAGTGTAAGTGTGGAACATGTACAGATGATGGATGGCAGGTAAGGTTGAGATTGTGCCAGGTTTGATGCAAGGACCATGGAAATTTGCAAAGTTCCTTCTTGATTCATTATGTATGCATGATGATTGCATTTTCCCCAGTGTGGGAAATAACATGACTATTATTTTATTTTCTTGCACAGACAAGTTCTATTTTCCCAATGGAGATCTGAACCTAGTCTTGTTTGCACCCTCTGAAGTAACTCGCAACAGTTTGTGGATTTTGCCTACACTGCAGACTGCAAGCTAGTTCAGACATGAGAAGCAGTGTAAATGCAGCAGCATGGATTTCCATTTAGAACAATGGTTGCCAACTTCTGCTTCTCAACACTGCACTTCAGTTTGCAGTGTAGATGTACTGTAGTGTAGACATACATCCCAGTTTCCCATTCAGCTTTTGTAATGGACTGTGGAGTTTCTTCGCACAAGGAAGGCAGGGAAGATGCCTTTATTTAGGGATTATATAAATGTAATATTTACTATGGAATATAATTTTTTTTTATTATTTGCTAGACACCAGAATATGCTCATCAGCACTGAGACACAGAAGATGTCAAAACTTTTGACCCAAAGAACTATTTAGGAGTCTGTCCAGACAGTTGTTCAGTATTCACAAATCTGATCAATGTTACTGGGTTATGAGGTTGCTGATCTGCTTCCCAAAAGTGCTCAGGATGTTGTTTCAGGGATGTATTTGGCAGCTATGTTGGTCTGAGACACAAAGAAATGCAAAAATCTAGAACTCTTGGTTCATAAATGCAATATGCAACACATTGGAAACCCAAGGGTGTCCTTTCTGCACTGCTGTGACATGGTATATTTTCATAGCATTTGAATGTGACATGGAAGCAGAGTGAATTTTGATCAGATTGAAATGTCTGCTTGGTATAGGGTTAAACTAATAAACAGGCAGTGAATGAAGTGTTGTAAGTATGCAAGTAGTTGTATATGAAAGTAATAATCATGCAGGAGTACACAAACCAGATACAACTTCTGTCTTCCATATGAATTCCCTTGACAACTGATGACTCTATTAACTGATGTCAGCAGGTGGACTTCAGGCTACAGTTCTCTGGAGGGTTTCCAGCTGTCCAGTGTAAATAGTAAGAGAGGATTATATGGATCCATCTTTTGAGGATCTATCTTTTGGTTATGAGGTGATAAGCGTGGGGTTACTACTATAGGTACCAAAATACCATGGTAATGAGCTAGGTAAAGGGGGCTAGACAGTCATCGTGATTCATCTCTGGCTTGCTGTTCCATACTAGAATCCCCTAAATGTCTTATTTCTGTTGATAAAACTTTCATTTGGAATATGGCCTCTCAATGGAGGCATTGGGAGCACTTTTACACATGCTCCAATGCATTCTGCTTAATCGAGTCTGCTGGAGCATTTTAATCTCGTGTATCAATGTCCCCGCATTTCAGAATGGTCGTGGGGGTGCGTTAACTACAGCTCATTGAACAAGCTTTAGTTAAAGTGCCCCTGCCACCATTTTGAGACATCGGATGCTGAATACAAGTGATGCTGCGGGTGTTTTAATTAGAGCGGCTCCCAAGAGCTGTTCTAATAAAAATGCCTCCCCCCCCGCCCATCCCATAGCACATGTATAGGTGCCCTTAAAGATGCCACTTAAAACAGGCTTCATCCAGTCTCTTCTTTTAAATAGGAACATGGGAATTGACATATGATATCAGATGACTACTTTTTGCAGTTCAGTAGCTTGTCTTGCCAAGTGCCACCACTAGTGAATAGGCCAGAAAACCCAGAGAAAAAATGATCAAATCAGCTCCTTCATTGAGCAATCTTTTCCTTACTCCACCCCCAAGCTAATTGTTTGTCTGTGTCCTAAAGTATGAGATGTGTGCCCCTTATAGCTGTTCATTCCAGCTCAGATAACAGTAAATGTTCTTATTATTGTTGTCAATGTCCAATACTTTTCTGAACGTTATAAACTTCTGCATAGGTATCTTAGCCCCGCTGAAACTGATAGGAGTTTTAACAGAGAATTTTTTGTATCAGCAGGACAACATCTAAATTGATATTTAGTGTTGACCTTGAGGTCACCCTAAACCAGTGAGAGCCATATGAGCCACCCTTCCGCATCTATAACTCTCATGGTAGCCTGCACCAAAACCATTCCTATTATACTTCATATTTCCTGAATGTTTCTTATTTTCATAAGGTGTATCCGAGCTTTCCCTTGTGGAGCCCTTCTAGCAATCATTTTGTGGACTACTTGTCTCTACTTATGGTCATAGTGAGATAAAAGGGAATGAAACAGAACTGGAAGGGTGGAACAGAGAACGGTGAGATTACTTCAGGCACACTTCCTTGGTTTGAAGCTTGCACATCTGGGTAAGCTCCAAGCACCATGCAGAACAGGGAAGGTCTGGAGGTGAGTGGGGATGGGATAAACCTCACATTTGGCAATTCTAAAGAGCTTCTGGAGCTGGACTGGACTGCTGCCAGGGTCCATCTCTAGGGGTTTGTGGTATAGGTGATTGATATGCTTAGGCTTTAGGGTAACCTTAACATCGACTCTATCAGTGTAGATAGAACTGAAGTTCCACTTTATTGCTAAGCATTGCCCTTTTCATGAAGGTTGGCAACAGACCAACTTTCAGTGACAAAATATAAATTGTTACCTCTAGTTACATTCATTGGATATTGGTTTGGGAAGTGGATGCCAGTCCTGAGCCACGCTTTGGTCAATTAATTTCCCCTTCTACGACTCTGATTCCTCTTTCACTCTTTGTCTGCCCTCTTGGTTTGTATTGCAAGCAACTTTGGGGGCAGGGTAGTTTCTTACTATGTGCGTGTATTGCCCTGTACATCTGGGACCCAATGTGAGCTGGAATCTCTAGGTTGCTACTGCAATGCAAATACATAATTCCATGTGAAATCAGAAGCAATAAAGAATGTCTTTCCAGTATCAGAGGCTTTACATTTACAACACACTTTCTTCAGTTTTGATTGTAATCTTTATTTCTGGTTGAATTCTGGGTTTGCATCACAGGAAGGATTCGGACACATTCGTCTCCACACAATGGGAGTTTGTGAAGCTGTCTTCATTGCTCACTGTGACAATACAGGAAGAGTTTCTCATAAGAAAGGAAATTGGCTCACCACATATCAAGAGCTGGGCCCTCCAGTGCCTACTTTGCATGGTCTAGTGTTGAACCTGGGTAGCAAGGTCACCACTTTCATCTGTGGAAGGGAGAGTCTGGCTGTGTTCAAAGCACTACCAGAATTGGGGGGATTTCTGCTGGGCCAATCTTGGTTGTAAATTGGCATAGCTCCACTGCAGTCAAGGAAACTGTAACACCTGACAGGCAGGGAAGCAACGCTGAATTAACACTAACATAAGTGAAAACAGAATTTGGCCCTACGCACTACAGAAAAACACGTTTCCATTGTGCTCTCTGGCCCAAACATGGGACATAAAGGGCGTGGAGCGAGCCCCTGACAGCCAGGAGTTACAGCTGCTGCTCAGGTGTTTTAATTCATGTTCATGCAGGGAAGTCCTGGCAGCAAGAGGTGAAGAAGGACAACACGTATCATTGTACACAGGCAATGGTGAGTGGATTTGTGGGTGAAACATTTCTAATCCCTGGGGAAACAGGAGCACCAGCAAGGCATGGTCAGTGAAAATGGTGGCTCTAGGGCTGCCAAGGAAGAACACAAGGCCAGCTACCCTCAGGATCCACAGGGTTGTTCAAGGATGAGACCATTATTCTTGGTGACTGCGTCTGTCACTCGTGGGCCTTCTGATGTCACTGTGTTTACATCTGAAAAGATGGAACATCAGAAAAAAGAGGGAGAACCATCATTAGCCACAGGAATGAAAAAGATTATTGCTGTTGACAGAGCTTCAACATTAGCTAGAGGAGATTGCATTACAAGCCTGCCAGCAGAAAATCATGAGAGTAAATCTGAGAGAATTGTGCCAGGTCAACCTTAGACAACTTTGCCAGTATGGTTACATTGGCCTAAGTAGCAGAGAGACAATTTAGCAAGCAAAATTATGCTCTTGTTGGTATAGGTTGTACTGGACTGGCAGGGGAAAAGCATTGTAACACAAAAAGCCCTTTTGGGTTTGTGTAACTGCTTCTATGCTCTGGTTTCTGCCCATACAGAAATGTGACATAAACAACACTCCTAAGTGATGCTGCTTCATCAGAAGGATCTGGCTTTACCCACCATGTAGATCAAAGTCAACACAGCCCAACACCAGCTGGGGTCTAGCCCTCTCTATCTTCACACATTAAGCCAGATCCTCAGGTTCTGTCAATTGGTGGAGCCCCCTTGATTGCACTAGAGCTACTCTGGCATAGCAGCTAATGAGTTTTAGCTGGTTCTCTTAAAGGGAGTTAATATCATCATTCATGCATCTCATCCCATAGCAGTGCTGAGCATTACATGACCCCCATTACAGGCCTAATTTTAATTCAGCCTGTTTAAAACAGTTTGTTTTTAGCTTATAGTTAAACATTAGACAAACTAGCTGCCTTTGTTGCAAAGAATTCCACACACCCTCACCTGTGTGGCAAGACACTGCTCCTGAGATTAACACCAACAGCAGTAATAATAATAAAGCACTGCCACTCCTCCCCCCAACTTTTCCCTTTATGAACATTGGGAGGGAAATTTCCAATCACAAACCTTATTTCTTTCCATTTGCAGAACAGAATTAGCAGCTCTTGGCTGACAACAGAGCTCTGTGTGAGAGTCTTGGCTACTCCTGCTGTTGTATATAGTAACTCAGGATGACAAAGCCCAGATCCTTTTAGCTGGATCCTGTTGTGAGCTTAATCACACTGGGTGCCTCCCCACGTGCAGGGGCATGCAGCTGTCATGGCAAAAATGGCAGCAACACAAATTTGTGCCACTGTCTTTTGCTGCTGCGCATACCCCTGCATGTTGGGTTGGTGTGGGATAAATTGTCCCAGGTGGGACAGGGCAGTTTGGGGATGGCACCTTTGTTGGCCCCAGCAGCCTTACCTGGGGTCCCGGGGGCCTCCTGGGGCAGCAGCAGTGCTGATCTGGCCATTTGGAGCATGACTTTGGCTGGCCAGCCTCTATTTTTGGCAGCCCATGCTGTTGCTGAGTGCTCTGTGCCACTTTTTGTGGCAGGTTTGTTTTTTGACACCAGGATCTCCCAGTGTCAATTTTTGGCACTGTGCTGCAAATCTGCGTGGCAAATGGGTGCGACATTTGCTCTGCACCGCATGTGCAGTTTGCGGTGTTTCAAACCCCACTTGCAGGCTTGTCTGCACATGCCCACTAGAGCCAGTCAGGACATACTCCCCTGAGTTCAGTGGAGTTATCAATGGTATAGAACTGATGGAAGTGAGAGGAGGACCAGAATCCTTTACCAGGTAAATCTTCCCCATATGGCTTCTCTTTGAAGCTGGAGAAATGCTTTGGAGCCTTCCAGCCCTGCTATATAACTTGGCCCTCCAGCTCTGGCTCACATGGCTCAATCTACCGCCCCAGTGCTTCTGTATTTACATTTTAATCATAGATACATGGGCAACACACTAAAAGAACCAGAACAGCAGCTCAGTTAGACTTATCTTGGCATAAAGGAGCACAGGATCGATGCATTTTACATACAGTGAGCACAAAAGTGCAGGTCTGCTGAGCAGAACACTGTATCTCACAGGGCTGATAATGAGAAAGGGAGGAGGCACAGCAGGGAGTGTCCCAAGTGATTCAGTGGCAAGTATCAAAGGTATTGAATTGCAGGCAGGTGAATGTGTGGCAATCTCCCCAGATATTCCATGAGCAATCTACCAAGTCATACTGACTGGTGGGTTTTTAAATGAACTGCCTGTTTGACTGATGCAACAGGGAGGGAGGGAGTACTGGCAATGAAAACAGATTTTTTTGTGTTGCTGACCCTGGTGTGTGATGATGCGTTTTGCTAACAGGATATCTGATTATAGGAAATAACACAGGCTTTCAGAAAGCCCCCTGGGGAGACCTACATCTGGGAAATGCAGGATGCTAAACACTTAAACAACATATATCCACACACCCCTGTGATTACCTGCAGTACAGCTTTGGCTATGGTTGTTTCTCTCTGTAAGGGTCTAGAACAGCATGGTGGTGTTGAAAATTAAAAAAAAAAAACAGAGGTAGAAAATTAAGCGAGAGAAATGACAAGAAAATGATGCCACTGTTGCAGGATCAAACACTGTGCTTCTTGTTCAGGGAAAAAAATCTAGTAAGCAGGAAGACTCTTGGTCCTCTTTAGGAGATAGCAGGACTGCCAGGGATGGTACAAACTGGGACACACAAATGATACATGTGCACTGTGGATGGAAACATCTGACAGCCCTAGGAGTGACTCGATGATACAGGCACATAGATCAGGTCAGTAGCAGGGGTAGGACTAGAAACGGGATCTGAGTTTGAGACCTCTGCCCTAGCCATTACACCGCACAGCCTCTCTAATTGTGTGTTATCATGACAGTCCCAAGAAGAAATGCACATACTTTGGCTCTGGTTGTGGTCAGCTGGCTGGGCTGTGCAGCTAGAAGGCTCCTCCTCGTCTCTCCTGCCACATAGGCTCCTAATCTTCCCTGCCACATACCTGCAGGCTGTAGAGATAAGGAAGGAAACTGAAAATATTAGGAGTCCTCTGAAGCAAACTGGGAGAAAAAGCTTCACAGGGCACCAAAGTGAAAGGAAAATTCCCAGGAGCACATTATCTCTTATGAATCATCTTTGCCGGTCTAGCAGGTATAACATACCTGCTATATAACAGGATCAGAGCTTTAAGATGAAAGTATAATTAACAGAAAATATATTCTACAGAACAGAATATGGTAGTTCAGTTCACAAGCTGGTTCAAAGCCCTGAGAGAGATTAAACTGATAGCACAGCAGATCTTGGCCCACAGGAGCAGAGAAAGTTGAAACAACTGGAAGAAATGGGCCTGGCTGTTTGCTTACTGACTCCACTTTTGTCACAAATAGCTCCATGAACTTCAGAGGGATAGCTCCTGATAACACCAGTGTGAGACCAGTCAGAGGAAGGATTATTTTAATCACTAAGCAATTTTTTTTTGGCTTCCCCAGCTTCCCCATTCTCCTCCCTAGTCCCCATCCATATCAGCCTTTTAAAAATCACATGATGAAGCTGTGGGTAGGGGGAGCTGCTAAGAGTCCCTGCTGAGAGGACTTCAGATACCCTTGCACTGAGATGGCAGCAGTCTCCTCTCCATGCCACAGCAGGCTGTCTGTGACAGCAGAAAATTGTCTATCATCGATGATTAATGACAACACCTGACAACATCTGTGATTTCAGTACCAAAGCCCTGTTGATGAAGACCTGGTAATGCAGACTGCATTTCAATGCACTCGATCTTCAGCCTTCCTCTGCTGGTAGAGGCCATAAATTAGAGAGACTGAAGATGGATTTACCAAGTAGAAATCACCCTTGACTCTATGTTACCTTAAGAAGTTTTTCTTACCATTGAGAAGTACTCAGACCATCTCCTTCAGGTCTCCACACAAGCTGTGCTTTCTGGCTGGCCTTTGCTGCCCTTCTCTCTGACTTGCATTCAGCTGGGCTGCAGTTTATTTTTCACAACGCTATTTCCTTCCTCCCTGCCCTCCCTCTGGACGTTGCCCCAGTAACCTGAGTCATGTGGTTGGCAGGCATGAGTGTGCAGTGTGAAACTTTTTGATTGTGCTATCCAGGTAGAGTTAGGGGGATGGATTTTGGATCCCTCTCTGGGGTTGGTTTCAATCTAATGTATGCCTGTGAAAATCAGAAAGCACCATGTGGGCATCAATGTAGGAAATTTATGTAGTGATCAGCTGAAAACCCAGACTGACCATATCTGCACTGAAGCTACCATTGCTGATGGAGCTCTAGTGACTTAAAAAGTTGCAACAAGGAT